CGCAAAATGGCCACGAGATGGCGGGCTATTATTATTAACTTCTTTCCTCCACCAGCCATGCGCAAAATGGCCACGAGATGGCGAGCTATTAATATTAAGTTCTTTCCTCCACCAGCCATGCGCAAAATGGCCACGAGATGGCGGGCTATTATTGTCAATGCAATTTCCCATAGACTTACAAAACCGCGGTTTTCACGTAATTTGAGGTCTATTTTCACCCCGTTTTCCCCCCTAGAGTGATGGGGGACTTAGAGTAAGATATTTTCCCCGAGTCCCTTCGACAAAAGCTCCGGCTGTCCCTTTAAAAGGCGTGTTATAATCAAGGCGCGACGTCTCCCCCCTTTAGGCCCCCTTGCAATCGCCCTATCTTTTCCAATAGAACCGAATTGAGGCGGCCGGCTGACTGCCTGCAAGGGACAACCGGTTGGGGCAGGGAAAATATCCAATTGCCGGGCCCGGGGAGGAGGGGAAGGGAAACCATCATCACACGAGACAGAAATATCAGGTTTGAAAACGGTCCAGCTGGTGTTTTCGAGCGGGGCAGGCAATCGGATAGACACCTCCTTGTAAGGGGCCTTTCTCTCCAGCAGCCTAGAGCGTCGAACAAAGTCCTATTAGGGGGAAAGGCAGCAGCTGGGAGATTGCCTGGCTTCGCTAATAATCCACTTTTAAGGGCAAAAAAAGGGGGGGAAAGCATTTTTAGAGGCGAGGCTCCACATTTGCAAAGCGATACTTCTTTTGCTCGAGCCAGAGCCGCTTCTGCCGCCCCTGGGCATGAGTTTCTTTTCTTTTTTTCTTTTGCAGGTGCGACTATCAAGTCGAAATTGCCATTTTATTTTTTGGGGCGGGGTGCAAAGCTGCAATGAACTGGGCCAGAACCCGCTGCTGAATTAATATTCTTCCAGGGCTTCGGGGCCAAATAGAGGTAAGTGAACAGCTTGCATGCACAGGGCAGCCTTTAAAAAAAAGGGGTGGTGGTGGGGGAAAATAAAAATACTAGAAATGGGGGGTGGAAACACACAAGGGAGGGAAACCATGATTGACGTCCTTGGGTCATCGAAGAAAGGCAAGAAATGGAAGTTTTTCATGGCAAGTGCATTAAGGGCCCTTATTCTCTTGTGCTCTATTCTATTCTTATTCCTATATTCTAGTTTATTCTGTTCTATTCCTGAATTCTGTTCTGTTCTATTCTAATTCTATTCTAGTTCTATTCTTATTCTTGGGGTAGGGTGGGGTGTAGTCTGGTCTGGTCTGAGTTTAAACCTCTTTAAGGGCCTCCCTTAAGACTGAATTTCTCAGGGTGCCACCCCCCCAAATCTTCAAGGCCTTTGCCCCACAATCCCAATTTCTCCTTGTGTGCTGTTAAAACCCACCTCTGCAGGTGCTTTGAGCCAATCTCTGCATGCCAAAAAAAGGGCTTCCTGGGTTTTTTGACCTCTTGATTTCTCTTTTTAAATGCTCTGGCTTTCAAATTTCTTCCAGCTTCCCCCCTCACTCCATCCCTTTGCGTGTCCCTCTCCACCCCTCAACAAAACCAGACAGAGATTCCCTTCTCGGCCTGTTTTAGATCCTGTAGATCACAGGATTGCACTGGTTCTCCCTCCTTTCTCTGAATCAGGGTTATTTCCAGCACAAATTGTTCCCCAGGGAACCATGGCCCAAAGAACCCTTTTATGAGATCCCTGGTAAAGAGCCCAGGTTGGGGGGGAAGTAATAGTGCTGCCCTTATCGGTTTAACATAATAAAACAAATGTGTAGGATTGGGGGGGGGGGAATTGGGTGGGCAGGAGAAAAAGGGGGGTCTGCATTGGTAAACAATTTTTACTGCTCTATGTGTGGTTTGCGACCATTTAGAGGGCCAGAAAAATGCACCATTCGAGGTGCAGGCAGTACGAGGTGACCTGGAAGCCCCCCCTTCACCTACAAGCGTTGAAGGGTGGCAGTTCCCAGGGCCCCTTCACCTGTTCAGGTATAAGACACAAGAAGGCACAGCAGGACTCAGGCGGGAACACAAAATGATGCTTCGGTAATTTGGGGTGAAGAGCGATGGCTGTGGCCATGTGATCCTTCCGAGTGCCAAATTTCTGGAGATTCTCCTTTTGGCCCAAGAGGCATGCCTGGCTCTGCAGCCCAGACTTTGGGCCTCTTTTCAAAGACACACACACACACACACACGTTGAATTTCCACATTGCAACCTTCGGTTTAGTTGCTTAGACACACCACTGTGCAAAATTTGATTTGCGAGCCTGGCAGTTTTCTTGCAGATGTTTTGTGACCCAAGCAGATAACTTCATTCAGTGTGCTGATGATGTTCTCTAGTTGGGTCATGAAAGGTCTGCAAGAAAACCACCAAGCTCAGAGAGCATCAAGGACCCCACAATCTTCCTCCTCTTCTTTCTCCTCCCCCTCTTCCTCCTCTCCTCCTCCTCCTCCTCTTCCTCCTCCTTTCCACAAACCTCCTTTCCTTCCAACACTGATGATATTACTTGTTTGGTTTTGAAACGTCTACAAGGAAACCACCCAGCTTGGAGAGCCCCAAGGACCTCATAGTTCAGCCCTGAGCTACAAATATTCTTATCGATATCCCAAAGTTGCTTTTCCAAGGGAGAACTGGACTTTCCTGGGGTTTCTTTGAAGATGTTTCACTTCCCATCCAAGAAGCTTCTTCAGCTCTATCGACGTCCTATCGATACCTTCTTTCATTCTCCACTTGGAGGTTGAGTCCCTTAAGGTTTGCTCCTCCCTCTTCTTCCCATCAAGCTTCCCGTCCTGCAGGGGCCACGCGTAAGGCTTTAAAGCCCGTGGCACATACCACGCAGGCTCCTCCTTAGTGCCAGGGCTGTTAACTCCTCTCTGCTCTGGAAGAAAGGTTGCATTTCAGCTTTTCTTTTTGAAATGGTTTGCACCCTCCGCTTGGTT